AAAAGCCAAGCTGGAAATGCCTGCTGAATGGGAAGTATGGGCTAACTGCATGCTGGTCCTGCCTATCTACTCTTCAGATGATTTTAATGACTGGAAACCTCCCTCCCGGCATCTTATGTTGACACTTCTCGCTTTACACCAGTGAAACTTCTCTACAGTTCAGGCACTTCAATATAATATATATTGTATATTATACGTATACATTACATGTATACATACAATATACATATATTGTATGAGTATATATAATAGTTAGTATTTAACTAAAGTGCTTTGAACCGGAGCTTTCCCTTTATCTTATTTTTGTTCTTTAGTTTTTTATTTCCATCAAGAGCCTCCTAGAATTGTTTTTATGAAGGTTGTTTTTTAAGTTGTAATTATTTGGAGCACTGCAATCTTGTATCCTTCTCCCACTTAACATTATGCCATAAGCACTTTTTCATCTTAGTGGGCATTATGTATAGCACACCATTTTGATCCACCATATTCTGCTGAAATACTACAGTATTGCTGGAAATAAAGATCATTTCCAATTTTTCACTACTATAAGTAATGCCTGAAACTGGCCCTTTTCAAGATCTCCATCTACCCAACGTGACATTATTACTCTCTCAGTAGATTTGAAATCTCTTCTTCATTTTCAAGTATTTGCTTTTTGCTGTTGCTCTCAGACAGGTTTAACTTTTCATTATTGATGGTATCTATGAGTGCTACTGATGTTTTACTTACTTTGTACACATTCACTTTATTGAACTCATTAATTCTATTGATAGTAAGTTTTCAGTTGTTACCCTTAGGTTTTCTAGATACACAATCATATAATCTACAATTAAGAATGATTTTATTTTCTCCTGTACAAATTTTGGGTTATTTTTTTATTGCACTGGTCACCTTCGCAATCATACAAAAACAGCAGTGACAGAGACATTCAAACCTACTGTTTAGGCTGTTTTTTTTGACTGAGATGTCATCTTATTAAAACACTGTTTATTATTCCAGATCGTAGTTTTAGATTACATTTAATTTCTTTCTTAAACTTACTTTTAATGTTTATTAGGAAAATTATATAGCTTTATTTAATCTAGTAATATTAAACTATTTTTCAATCCCTGTGATAAACTCTTTTTTAAAAACCTGTTGACACTTATATCCACCCTTTACATCTACCTTTACAAGAAAGGCTGGCCCACGTTCCTGCTGACCAGCACAGCAGCCACCAGCCACAGGGAGAGGCTGAGCACCTGGGGCTGGTCTGAACCGACATGTGTTACAAGTGTAAAATAAACAGCATATTTCAAAACTTTTTTGGAAAAAGGGAATGTAAAATATCTTAATACTTTTATATTAATCACATGTTGAGATGTTAATATTGTGAGTCTACCGTGGACCCTTGAACCACAAAGGCATGAACTGCGTGGTCCATTTACAGATGACCCTTTTTCAATGAATCCTTTTTCAATAAATATATAGTCAGCCCTCTGTACCCCAAGGTTTTGCATTCTCGATTCAATCAGCTGCGGATTGAAAACACTATTTTCAATCCATGGTTTGGAATTCGCAGGCTGAGAGGGTGGGGGTGGGTGGTCGGTCCTTGATCCAATCCCCTGGGATCAAAAGTTATTCACGGAGTTTGAACTGTTCGGGGTTTAGCATTGTTCGAGGGTCAACTTTACTAGAGTAAATAAAATATATTTCAATTATTTCCACCTGTTTATTACTTTTTAAAATGGAGCTACTAGAAAAATTGGAAAGATATGTGGCTTGCATTATATGGCTACTGTGCAGTGTAGGTCTATTCTTTCCTCTTCACAAAACATCTCTGTTAAGTATTCATATCAAAGTTGGATTTACTTCTAAGAATCAATTAAGTTTTGTAGGACCTTCTACAGTCTGGAACATTCGCTATAAAACGTGTGTATATGGGTTTGACAGCTTGAAAGGGTTCATCCAGATTCAACTCCCCCACTCTTGTTTCTAAGAATTGTCTCAGTGACTAGCCTGCTCTGATATTTTTTTTTAAAGGCTAAAGCCTTAAATGCCAGACGCTGTCAGAATTGGATAACCCATATTAAATATGAGATTAAATCAAAGAACTACTGAGAGCATTTCAGATCTTACTGTAAAGAGCTACCAGTGTTCCTTCCTTCCTGAGTTTTACTGAAAATGTAACAAGCGGCTCTTTCTTTGTTTTGGAGCCAATGTGAAGATTCTCCTCTTTACACAAAGGTATGGCTACGGCACCTTTGTGTATCCGTGAATAACTATGGCAGGAGATGTGTGAGCCACTCTTCTGCTCATCGGAAACACACTCCCTACAGTCAGAGACCAAAATTCAACTCTTCAGATCCCAGATGACGTAGCAGCCTTTGCCACTAACAAGCCTGTGTAGAAAGGAGTGAGAAGGGCGAGTACGGAGGATGTCGAGGGAAGGCAAATCTTGGACAAGCCCTCCTACACCCGAGGTATGCTGTCGGCACAGGCTAGCGTGGGCGTGCAGCGGCGAGCTCAGGGTCTGGGAAGGATGATCCACAAAGCCCCCAACAAGCACTGGCATGAGTATACTCATACATCTACAGCTTGTAATCCCAAAGCTATTACATCCATAGTCTTTCATTGTCTTTTGCTATTTTTAAAAATCTAAAGTTGAACACCATCTGGGCTACCTGGGTTCTAAGACTGGCTAGCCGAGTGACCTTGGACATATTACTCAGTCACTTGGTAACTGAATTTCTTCATTTGTAAGATGGGGGAAAATAAAGAGATTTATTTTAGGGTCTGAGAATGGAATGAGATAGGATAGGCAAAGCTATCAGTAAAGTGCCTGACACACAGTAGGCGTCCGATAAACATATACCATGAAAATAACAGGGTATACTCATTAGTTCTATCAAATATTGACTGCAAAATCACTAATTAACAAGGAGTCATCAACTAATAAGTGGCTTGTCAACCATAGGACCAGCCATTATTAATTAAAGGATAGCAAAGTATGCATTCCTTAACACAGAAAGAAAAACTGGGCCATTCTGCCATTGCTGAATCACTCAGTCACCACGAAAGACTGAAGAAATCCAGGTTATACCTGATACCTCAAGGTAATCATCCTAGAGACAGTCCTTGGGGACAATTTTCCAAGAGGTACACAGAAAGTTCACTCCCTTCCCTGGCGCCTTCCATCCATCACAGATTATGGAGCTGCCTGTGATCTCCATTCCCAAGCTCAATCCCTGTCGCAGCTCAGCCCCAATGCTGCACAATCAGGGTTGTTCGTCGTAGGCTCCCGTAGGCTCCCGGTGAGGAGGCTGCCTCACACCTGCTCCCTGCTCCTCCTAGCCTTCCCGGTAGAGGCAGAGCCTTCACCTGTTCCTTAAGATACCCATCTGCCTCTACAACCCAATGCTTCGTGACAGAAAAATGAAAACCCAAATACTGATCATTCTCACCCAGGAAAGGGAGAAGAGCATTATGGCTAGAAGTAAAAACCATTACAGAGTCTCAAAATGATGCTATGCTCACTTCAAGGACAAAGGATAGAGAAGTTTTAGGAGTTTCTACTATGAGAGGTCATGTCTAAGTCCTCCTGCACCTTGCGGTCACTGCCACCGCTAATACCAGGAGAAGAGAGAGGTCCTGGCAAGAAGAGGTGAGGGTGGTGGAAAAGAAAGCAGGTGTGATAGCATGTGGGAATGAAGGAGGAAGAGATGATATGAGATTTTCTTGGGTAGCAGCAACCTCTTCCTGACTCTATACTTTCCTCTTCCCCACAGTAATAGGTTATTGTGCCCAGCTAACTCCATTCCTCTCCTCGTCAAGCCCTTTCCCAAGGATGCAGTGCAATCTGTCTCCCCACTGACCAGGAACTGAGGAGGGGGTGATGGGCAAGGCGGGGAATCCCGACCCCACTGCCAGGTCCACATCAGGAGCGAACACTTTCCTGGCAAAACTGAACTGCCTTGGAAATCTGAGTTCAGTTCTCCAGAGAACATTGGCAAGGGACCTCAATCACAAGAGGTGCTAAGACATGGGCTTTTCAGAGACTAGCCTGGAAAACCACCCAGAGTGCATTTAACTTTCTTTTTTTTTTAAATGGTAAATGTACTCTGGGATTCTAAAGAAGCTCTAATAAACTTCTGGAATGGTGAGCATATGAAAACTATATAAATATTCTTATGTACTAAGTAATATGTAAATACAGTTGTAAATAAGAGGCAAAGAACTTGAAGGGGATTGGAGAAACCCTATTCCCTCACCCAGGCAAACTTATTTAATCACGCACAGTAAATGTAAATGATGCGTCCCAAATGACAAGTCCTGGGAACTCCAAGGAAGAAAAAAGTATCTGTGGGATGCAGCACATAGAAGTAGCTTTATTAATGAAATGAGACTGCAGCTCACAATACTGTGTTTCTCTAAAAGGATAGGAAAGCATTATGTCTTAAACAGAGCAGAAAATTCTCCCCTTTAGCCCTTTACTTTTATAAACTATAAGAAGATACTTATTAGTTTACTTATAATTTAATTTTTTTATTGTTGCATTAAAATGAGTATGGGATCTAAAATCAGCTTTTAGCCTTCAAGATCTGAGATTTGTTCAAAAAGACTTTCCTTTGGGAAAAAAATGTGTTGGGCAATATTTCCTTTTATTATGATTTTTCTCTATTTTATTATGATTTATTATGATTTTTCTCTAGGTTTTTCTTTTTCTTTTTGGTCAACATCAGTTTCCTTTCTAACATTTTCACTTCAAATAGTTGGTCCATCAGTGTCACTACAAACCATAAACATTATTCAAAACAGTTACCTGATCTTCTCTGCAGCTAAAAACACTTTCACCTTTTTCCACGAATCATTTGACACAAAGTGGCAGTGCTGACACGTACACTCACCGTCCCACCCCGGAAAGCCCAGAAGGTACCAGGAAGGAAGAGCCAGGGTTACCAATATCTCATTTGGTGCTGGCCACGAAGGCTGCCTTGTCTTTAATTATGAGCCCCAATTACCTTTGTCTGCTCACTGTCTGGGTCTTCAAGCCAAACATAAGGGTCAGGAATTTTATGCCCATGATAATCCTGTACCTGTAAAAGACAAAATGTGTCATTAGATAAGCTGTGTCTAACTCCAATTAAATTACTATTTTCTGAACGTGATGGAAAAAGAGGAGAGGGACCGACAAAAATACCCCAACTGGCTCACTGGCAACCTGACTGCCCAGATTACCACATGAACCAGAGTTGGCAGGGTCTCAAAGGTGTCAAGACACCCTTCGTGAAAAGCATGTTGTAGCTGGAGAGGGAAGAAAGAGGAAAGGTCAGAATAGGAAACAGCTCTGTCTGTACAACACAAAACAAAGGCCTGCTGCTGTGCTAAAGAAACTTGAAAATGTGTTGTCGGTGGCACAGTGCAGAATTACACAATGCAATAGGATGGGGGAAAAAAGGCACGTACATGTGTTTATTTTCCTGTTCTGGCTAAGCTTTCTGATGATTAGAAAATCTCTCTACGATATGAGATAGAATATGACCAGGCTTGCCTTTAAGTCTCAACTGCCACAAAGAAAGTTACTAATGTGTAGTTATAATGATTATAATTGGCATCAGCTGAAAAGGCGGACCTACATGCAGTAAAAGAGCACTTCTCAACTGAAGCCTTTCTTCCTTTTTGTGTATTGTTATGAAATGCTTTCTTTACCCTGATAGAAATAAAATTCCTTGGTGTAAGCAGGGCTGGCTGGCCAAGGGGAAGCCTCTGGGAGCTCCCATGAGGGCTGGCCATCAGAACTACCTGGGAGCTAGTGAAAAGCCCAGGTTCCTGGGCCGGCCTCAATCTGGAGTCACCCGTCCCCAGGGGACTATGCTGCAGGAAATGTTACAAAGGTAAAAATCATTATAAAACCTCTCCATTTCATGCCATCATGATAAAGCTAGTTCACTGAAATCACATTGACAATGTCTTTCCAATCAAGTCTCTCTGATTGGCAACGCCAACATGCCAGTTAAGGCCTCTCATATATGACTGTCGGGAAGACTACCACTATCTCAGATGAATTTTTAATCTGTTTCCTTGCTCCATTCAATCACACCAGAAGGTATGGGCTACTTCCTAAGGAAAGCAAACAGTCTCCTGGAAAAGCAAGAAAAACAGGAGAAGAAAAACCTGCTGTCTCTACTTCTGGTCAAAGTTCCAGTGTGGCTGCTGCCAAGTAAGAGGAATCCCCCTGAGCCTAAAACCCCAGGCTCCCACAAAGGGTCTGCACCTGCCCTCCCCTGGTGCCAGGGAGAGGACACCTGGGGACATGCGTATCTGGGATGATGGGCAGTTAAGGCAGAACACTCGGTGGGGACTGACATACGCAAGGGACAAAAAACCAGACTAAAACTTCTGATGAGTCTTCCTAAAATTACTGATTTTCAGGGGAAAAAAGTACCAATTTTCAATCCTTACCTAAAGCCTCTAAATTTTACCTGTCACACCTGAATGAAAGTTTATCTTCTCATCCTCAAGTTTTTTACATTTCACACACCTTGAAGTGGTTACAAATTATGCTTAAAATAACCACCTTCTTTTCCCTGACAATAAGAAGCCAGATAAAGAATCCCATAAAGGATTTTCCAGTTAGAAGTTGGATGGGCAGGCACAAGGGTGGACGGCCTGCGCAGGGCCACACTGAGTTCGGAACCAGTGCTGGGACTGAAGACAACCCGCCAACGGCTTTCCCCCAAATAATCTTTGCAGGGGGTGGGCCATACAACTTAAACATGTTCCTAGATTATGAGGTTACTGAAATTTACCTGTATCCAGACTTAACTTTTCCTATGGAAACAGAAAAGATTAACTGGAAATCATGATAGTTTTATAACCAAGTGAATGAAGCTGTTGCCAACTGCTACAGCCAAAGCAATAAACCTTTACCGACTATCCACATTGTTGTGAAAGATGTGTTAAAGGAACTTCGTAGGGGACTTAATGATATTCCTATTTTACAGATTACAGAATGCAATTCAGGGAAGTTAGTAAGAGTAAAGGCCACAGATTTATCATTTACTCAAGAGATCCCTGGAAGCTAACCATTGTTCAAAGATCACAGCCACGCCATCTCATGTGTCCTCACTGTCCCAAAGACAATCCCAGGAGCCAAGTGTGTTCCCTTCCCCTTTTTTCTTTTACAAGACTATTTCTTACAAATGGAGTGGTGGCATAGCCACATTCCCTGAATTCACATTATGCAGTATCTAATTCTCTCATCTAATTTAAGTTTGCAAATCATTCCTCACCTCCCGAAGAGGGTCTAAAAAGAAAGCCCTTGGTAAGCCACTGTTATGATTCAATATTTTACTCATACAGTTCAACAACTCTCCTGCTACCTTCAGGATAAAGTGCAGACTCGTACCCTCAGCAGGCAGAGCACGTGAAACCTGGCTCCACTTTCTTTTGTTCTTTTCCAACCTTGTCCAAGCTTGTCCACCCATGGATGCTCTGTTCACAAAGGCCTTCCAGCCGACCTACAGCTGAAGTTGTAACTTCATGACCATCCAGCCCTAACACAACTAGGGCTTCATTTTAGTCATAGGGCCAGGAATGTCCTTTCTACTTTATCCAACTGGCAAACTTCTATGCTCAACTTACATATTATCTTCTGCTACTGACAGAAATTAACCCCATCCTCCAGTGTTGCCCACTCACCCTACACACTCTTCTAACCCCTGCAGCACGCATGAATTTATCGACAGCAGCACTCTCGGGGAATAGGCAATGGCACTACACAGGAAGTACCATGGTTCCCAAATTTCTGCTCACAGAGCAGAAATCCAAAAAAAGGGTTGCATAACTCCACACTCTCAGTTCAAGCAGGAGGCTGCCTAGTATGTGGCTGAAGAATAACCAAGTGAGAGAGACAGAGAGCTACAGCAATCTCTAGTACCTGCTGGAGAGAAACAAACCCATACTAGAAATCAAGGCTACAATTTGAGCAAATGCTTAAGTCCATCCTAGGGCTTAGTAATCAGGACTCTCGTCACAGAAGAAAAGATACCCCATGCAGGCTATGAGGGCTGAGATGAGGATACTGTGGGATCCAGAGAGCAGAGTCTAGGCTGGACCACAGCTGCTTTCTCTCGGCCATGAGGCTTAGTGTTATCATGAGTCCTTTGGTGAGAAGAACTGGCGAGTATTAAATCCATGGTACTGTATATATACCCTTTTGAGTTAATCATTTACAATCTGTTTAATGCCTTCATGAAATCCTCACTTAACCCTTTAAAGAACTCTTAAACATAAATAAATGAACTGTAGAATTCTGGAAACACAAATAAGGAAAAACAAGGTGAGAAGCAACGCCCCCCCGCTCCGGCCCCCAAAAAGAAACAAAACCAAAAAAAGTAAATCTGAAAGGGCACTCATCAAATCACATAATGTATAATTGAGTTTTCAGGATTGACAGAAATATAAACAAAGATCCTCAAGACAAACTGGTATATTCATATGCCTTCCCATTACTAAAGCCTGGCACACTGCAGGGCTAGAGTGTCATGTAAATAAATAAAAAACAATATTCTTACTATACTAGCAAGTAAGTAAGCCCTCTGGTTAGTTTGTATGCCAGTCGTAATACTTCGTATATGAGAAAGAAGGCCTATAACAAGCAAGTGATCTGCCATGGGGCACCCTGCTAGTGAGGGAGAAAACCAGAACTAGCACTCAGGCCTTCTTAGTTGGCCTGCCCTTTCCACGCTGGCAGGATCATTTCACTCCCAAACACAAAGGAAACAACCTTTTGAACCACAGGGATAGGACTTCTTGGGCCACGAAGAGTAAATTTAATAAGCAAAAGGTTGAACAGCCTTAGGAAACATGGTTACCAGATGGCCACTGGTCAAAGAAACCATGAATACATCAGTGCCATTTGGAAGTCTTAATTTAAAACAATATGTCCTGCCCTGACTGGTGTGGCTCAGTGGGTTGGGCGTCCTGTAAACAGAGGGGTCAACAGTTTTGATCTTGGTCAGGGTCAGGGCACATGCCTGGGTTTCAGGACAGATCCTCAGTTCAGGGAGTGTGAGAGGCAACCGACTTATGTTTCTGCCCCTCTTTCTCCCTCACTTCCTCTCTCTCGAAAAATAAATAAAATCTTTAAAAAAGAAAAGAAAACAATATGTTCTTTACTGTAAAGCGCAGTACGCTTTAACCTAAAGTGAGCTGTTCTTTAAAGTACAATCTGGCATAAATTGGGTCCCAGTAAGCAGAATAAAAATTAAAACTGTATTACATAAAAATATTTTCCTTCTAATTCTATTTTAAGTAATCTGAGAAATTTGGCTATTCCTAAGAGAATCATGCCTACAACATTTGGAGGCACTACAGTTCTTAAGATGCCAAATTTATTTTTAAACACACGGAAAAAGCTGTTTGCCCACCAATTCCACCCACTGGATCTCAACAGTTACCCTGAGTTCATCTACAGTTTAGGTAAATGGTGGCTAAACCTTTCACGAAGCAAAACTTAATCTCATCCTGAAAAAAAGGCCATTTCTTCTCTTCTAAGACTTCCTTTCGCACCCTATCAACTCCTTTTCTTGTTTAAGGAAACTTGGATCAGCACTGCCACACTTAGGCGTCACTGTTCACCTTCGTGTTTCTGTGTCTGCGTCCCCAACACCCAGCAACCGGCCTTGGGCAGGGTAGGCGCTCAACACACGTTTTAAAATCGAATGAATGAACTTCACCTCTAAGGATTTTAAATGTAGAAGTTTAAAAAGTTTGCTTTGTATTTAAATTCTACATCACCTACACCTATACACTCTTTCTCCAACCACCATATTTACAGTAAGAGGTTTCTCCAGTCCAAAAGCGGGAGCACTTCCTACCTGGGCATCTGCCCTTGACCCCGTTGATGTTAGGAAACCGCCAAGCGGCTGCTGACCACAGGCTCCGCTGCCAGCAGGCGGACAGTGACGGCCACCGGAGACTCTGCGGCTCGGAAGGAGCCCCGCGCCCCCGGCCCGTTTCTCGCAAACAAAGGCCGAGGGGGAGGGGAGGGACGCAGGGGGCGAGGGGCTGCGGGCGAGGCAGGGTCGGCGGGGAGCCGGGTGGGCGCCGGCGTGGTACTCACAGCAGTCTCGTCGCGGTACACGTCGGGGTACTGGAAGGACAGCATGGCCGGGGCGAGCAGGGGGTCGCGTGGGGTGTGGGCTCCGGGAGCGGACGCGAGCGAGCCGGCCTGGCGGTGGAGCGAGGCAGGAGTGCGGGCAGGAGCCGAGCAGGCGGTGGCACGCGAAGGGCTCTCGGGTGGGGCTAGCACCACCGGACTGGCAGCGCGCGGCAGAGACGTGCGGGAAGCAGGAAGCAGCTGTCGGCGAGTCCCCGAGCCCCTCCCCGGCGGGCGGGCCCAGCGGCTGGGAGAGGAAGCGGGCGTCAGTGCGTGCGCCAGGCGGGCTCACAGCTCCCTCTGCAGGAGCGCCGGACGCACCGCCGGGACGCGCTCACCGCTGCCCGCTGGCGGGGCGCGTCGCGCGCCCGGAGCCACCGCGCCGAGCCGCCGGTCGCGCCTCCCGGACCACGGCATGGAGCACCTGTCCAGTGACGCCTCTGGGCCCAAGCTGCCCGCTTCCGCCCGAAGTCCCTCTGCTGCAAGCCTCTCCATTGCTCCGCTCCCGGAGCCTCCCGAAGGGCATGAACGGCAAGGGCTGCTTATTAATACATTCCCCCCCCCGCCCCCCGCCCTATCTTCCTGTTCTTGAGAGCGGAGGGCTTAAGGTGGCCAATTTCCACTGCCTGCGACTCTGGACTTGGAAGGGAAGGGATAATGGATCGTGATGGCCAAGAAGGGAACACATCTCTCTTCACTCCAACACCCTGGTGGGCATACGGTGTTTGACATCTGGAATACGGAGATACTTTGAGTTGTCCATCTGACAATGGATGAGTCCTTACGTGAGATTTACCAGTTAAGAAGGGACCAAGGTGGGAAGACTGGAAATCATCTAGGGTCTTTTTTTTTTTTTTTTTTTTTTTTTTTTTTTTAATTCTCTTGGTCTCCTCTATCCTCTCTTGTCAACATGTTTGTTTAGTGAGCATCTACTATTATCCCTGCAGGGATAGGGGGTGGGAGGAGGCTATTAGATTAAGATGCTTGACCTCAAACCTATGACAATGTAATAATTACATTGCTTCATCTTTGGGCTAATGATGATATGTGTCTGATCTTGTTTTCTGGCCTATCTGGAAGAAGCTTTATAGCCAGAGCTGTGGTGTGTGCTCAATGAGTTTTGTACTCCTGGTTTCTTCCAAGTCCTGGGGGGAGGTCATGGATGTGATCAGAAAGTCCTTCCCATCCTGAATTCCAAGTGGACGTGGTATCTACAGTAAACTCCTGTCTTGTGTTTCTTTTGTATTATTGTCTCAATTCCATCTTTCACCCCCTAGTTCAGTGTTTCTGATCATGGGAGGATGTCTTATAATCATTTTTTTTTTGCATATGTTCCCAGACCCCCCCTCCTTGAGCAAGCTGAGAATTCTCAGTTCTGGGGGAGCTCACCCTATTGATGCCAGACTTAGCACAAACACACACAGGGACATAGCAAGCTACAGCCTAGCATCCCTGATCCCAGTCCACTAGTCCAGGGGCTGCCACACATGGCCCTATGCTTCTGCCACTTTGGGGGTTCTTCAAGAGCAACCCAGAGCACATGACCCAGCAAATTTCCTAATAAAAAACAATAACAATAATTAAATGCTTATTGAGTGCTTCTTATATGCCAGGAAATTTTTGTATGTAACTTTATGAGATAAAAACTAATATTATCCCATTTTTACAGTTGAGAAAAGGCTTTCATCCAGGACTTCACAAATTAAGGAAGAAAAAAACAGGAGTTATAGAGCTAAAATTCAAACCCAGATCACTCTGATGCCAGCACTCATTCTCAACCACTATGCTAATCTTCTTCATAAATAAATAGGAGTACTCAATGATCAATAAGGACACCCATTAATATGTGGAACTTCCCTAGGACTTCATTTTTGTGGGAACTAAAGTAGAAATTATGGGAATGTGATATGCAAAGGACAAAACAAACTTAAGATATCATCCTCTGTTCCTCTCCATGGAGGCAACTACCTGGTACCTAGCTCCTCTGGGCTCTAAAAGCCAGTGGTTCATAATATATGGCAGAGACAGTGTAATATAATAGGCTACCAGCAATATCTTGTCTGCGACTGCAGTGAGGTGGAGTGGAGAGGAAGATGTGATAGCGCCATTCCCCTCCCCTTGGACAGACAGAGCGTATGCCACTTATGCTTGCTGCATACTTGTCAAGCGTTGTCTGCTTTAATCTCCTTAACAAAGTCCATTTTACAGAAAAGGAAAAGAAATCTCATCAACTTCAGAGGAATTTGTCCAAAGTCATCACACGGATGAGGTAGAGCCAAGGTTCAAATTCATTGGTTGGCCTCAAAGTCCATGCTGTACCTTGTCCACAGAAAATGAAGCAAAGGGAAGCACTGGAACTATTTTAGAGGTGGGAGTGCTACTTCCAGAGTAAACACCAGAGCACTCTTTGACCCCTGGCACTGCACACTATTTTAGGGGAATTAGAGAAGTAACACTGGGAGAACTCATGCGCTAACCCAGAACAAGCCATTCCCATAACACTAAGCCCTTAGGTGAGTGGGGCTAGTGAGACAACAGGACCTCCAGGGAAACCTGCTGCCCCTTCTCTATTGCCTGACCTCAAGCTTTGTACTGTTACCCAGAGTCATGCTCCTAAGGAGGCAGGCTAGTAATCATTTATTGTTCTTGGCTGCCTCAACCCTAGCCCGGGTTCTTGTCAAAGATCACTTTCAACCACATGCAGTCATCTCCGAGGATTTCTGGTAAATGCACAAGGACTCTTAGTCAAGAGGTATGTGGTGGCTGAAATCCATCTGACTCTCCACCTGGCACACTGCACACAGGCACTGACTGCATTCACCTGGAAGAAGCGCCATCTTTATATTCCCACAAAGGTCCACTGGGAAGGGGCTCCATCTGCCCAGGGGAAGGGTTTCTCTCCCACACGAGTGCAATCTTGTTGGCACCCCTTAAAGACTGTTGCCCTGGGTGCTGCCCAGATAATCCATCTTTTATTTTGACTCTGGTTTCCAGGTAGCTACTAATTGGTGAGTTCAGTCTTTTCTGACTACTTTTCCCTGAAGATTTATATTCCTATTTCTAGTGTAACTTTTAAGAAAAATTTTATACATTCCTATATATCTAACACCTCTGTGGCATCATGAAGTATGAAATAGCACCTATGATAAGAGTGAGACTCTCTTCCCCGCCCTGCCACTAATGGAGTCCTTTCATCATCAGTATCTTTATCTATACAATGAGAGAATTAGGTCAGATGGCTCCAAAGAATTGGAAGATTCTGGTTCTAGGTGAGAACTAAAGTGGAGGTGTAGGAGCTTCAAAACTAACTCTGGAATTAATGATGAAATTGTCTTGGGGGAGTGTAGTCCATATCTTGTGAACAGATGGAGGTGAGAGTGGGCAGTGATTGTCACCTGAAGGGCATTCTCTGTAGTTTGCTTCTGCTTTCAAACAACCCATGAGGCCAGATTTTCTAAGAGCACATCGCTGGGCCTGTGGTCCACCAAATTCATAGATCTGACCTCTTCAAGAACTGCAGCTGTTCCCTTCAAATACCCTTTTCTTGATATAGACATATGGTTAAAAGGATGGAATTGCAGTTGTGAAATCTAAGTTTCCACTTCCTCCTTCCCTTCTCAACTTAATGCCTCACTGAATTAAATATCAGAATGAGATGGTAGGACTGCATTCAGTCCAGAGGAAAAACTTGGGCAGAGAAAGCAGATCAACAGTGAATCTGGGGCATGTTTCTAGTTCAGTTCATGGAACTTATCTTTACCATTCCTAACAAAGTTCTCAAGTTAGGAGTGTTTCTAGATCTGGAGAGAGGAAACTCCCCCTCCCCCTGCCCCTGCACATGTAAAATGAACTTGTTTTATTTAACTAGAGAAGAAAATGGTCTATTCATCTGTTTTAAATTGCGAACTGAGAACTTGAAACTATTCAGTGAATATAATGTGTAATAGAAAAATGTGTCATTTCAAAATTATTGGCTGTAAAATTAGAGAGGAGAATCAAGATTCAAGAGGAACAAAGAGGGAATAAAAAGATAGACAAAGCAAGATGGAGAGACAGCAACCCAGATTTGCTAATATCAGGAAAGATAAGGATAAGTATAAGGAGATAATATGGAGACAGTCAACTCATAAATACACATGTAGACAATCGGAGTTGGACACACAGAGAGATAGTCTTTCATGGAACGATACCTGCTCTTATGGTCTTTAGAATAATAATGTTAAATGTTTAAGTTCTACTGGAACTTTTACAACTCTGGGATAACTAATGACATGACCTCTTGGTGTTTTTCTTATTTATTAAACTAAACAGCATATCTGACCTGCATACTCAAGGTTCTCTACCCTGCTCAGTGTCTCCAGTTTTCTGTGAAGTTCCCAAGTAGCAACCAGACTAATTTTCCATTTACTACTGCTTCTCTCATGCAGTCCTCACACGTATCATCTTGAATCAGTGAATTCAAATTTACTGTGCTGGTCTTATTTGACATTTATATTTTAACCATTTCACAAAAGACCACAGTATAGTATTATAGCCTCTAATATGTAATGCATGCTGGGAAGAATTCATCTTTAGTCCATTACCCTCTGTACTTTTGGAGATTCAATAAAACCTAGAGAGTTTGGTGGCTAGCTGGTTTAAGGGTTGGCCAATCCCTAGGACAATCTAAGGCCTCTAAGCTCTCTCTTGCTGATAGCTCAAATCCCTCAAAAGGTAGCTGACAACCCCCAACTCTCTACAGGCCTTAACATTGGTGGGACAGGGAGGGAGACAGAAGAATCATTTTATTGTTTTTTATAGAAGTACTACATATCTAGGCAAGAAGGCAGAATAGATAGGTCCAGCTAAAGAAAGAATTGTTAATGCATTGCTAGGCTCTCAGGGACATCTCTCTCTCTCCACACAGACTGGCCATTTAAAAATCTGAGTTAACAGGAGAATGGGAAGCAATGGGGTCACCAGAATAAAGAACACCTAGGAGCATTATTTTCATTACATTCTATGTAAATGGTACCCTCCAGAACTGTGCTGTATATTTTCTCTGTACATACTCCAGAAACATTGTCCTGAAAACAAATAATTATGTCTGCATTGTCTATCACAAGAGGCCCCCTTTGAAGGAAAGCATCATCCTAATGGAGGCCTGGGGATTTTCTACTGATTAAACCAACCATGATTTAACTCAATCACAGATCATGCAAGGAAATGATCTGCTAGCACTCAGCAACATTTCCACACTTCTTTGATATCCTCTGTATTACAAAGGGCTGTGAGCCTGTAAACTATATTTTCTAAATGCTCTTGTCAGCTGGTTTCTTGCCTGGGCCCTATTAATGGAAGAAAACAGATGAAAAGGAGGAGGAGGAAAGAGACTATTTTTTTCTTCTGCTTAGGTTCTTTCTGACAATGGTTTCTGACAACCATTGTCTTTCTGACAATGGTTAGGATCTACCAGTCATCGCAGGCTGTTCCAAGGGCAGCACTGTTGGATCCACGGTGGGGAACCTTGTGTGCCCAAAGAGTCAGCAGTAGGTTCAGCAATGTCAAAGGGACTGTGGACGCCCAGGCTCTTCCAGCCACCGTGAGAGTAGAGCTGTGGGTTTCCAGTGGGGTAATGGCAGTGACCACACAAGCAGCTTTGTACTCAAGGAACCTGTGTGACAACACTTAAGCTTTTGCTTCTTCCACCTTAGGAGAAAGAATGGCTTCTGACAGTCCCTAATCTTTAGATAACATCGCAGTTCCTTTTTTTTAATCTTTGGCCATCCATTTGCATAACAAACTTCTTATGTTAAATCCCCTCTCTTTGAAGTATCTACCATGGCTTTTTTTTTTTTTCCTACCTAGACATTCTTTTAGCCATGAATAAGAGTAAGAAAAAATAACAAGCAACATAAGTAGACCCACTGAGGGTTTTAGGTATTGGAAAGATCAAATGCATAATATAGCATGCCAAGATATGAATTGTATCAAGAAAAAAAATTTCATCCTCCAAATAGTAAGCTATAAGAAAGTATAAAAATGACCAATTGGATTTGGAAAAAATATAACTTTTAGAAATGAAAAATAAATGGGTGAAATAAAAAAGTCATGGATAGGATAAATATCAAGTCAAATCAGAAAGTTAAAGAGAAATACTGAAAGGTAGCTCTATGGAAATAACACTAAATGCAACACAGAGGCAAAGATAATAATATGGAAGTAAAAGAGAAATATTGAATGTGAAAAAGTAGAAAAAACATTTGGTCATCTCTATATATTAAGAAAACAAAATTCCATATGCATTCATGAAAAAATCTCAAGGAGCAAGTTGGAATGGAAGGGAACATCCTAAAACTGATTAAGGTGACAACTAAAACAAAAGGAAAGACCAAAAACTCAACCCTACCACAACCATTTTAAATATGGAAACATTGGAAGCATTCTCTGTATAATCTCAAAAGAAGAATAAGCATGCTGCTATTACCACTTCGACTCCACATTACACTGGAAGATTAGAAAAGAGAAAATAAAACTGTCATTATTTGTATATGAAATAATTGTTTACTTAGAGAACAAAACATCTGCCAAAAATTATTCAAAATAATAAGAGCTGCTCACTGGGGCTGGATATATGATTAACATCTAAAAGTCAATTGTATTTCTAGATGCATGAACAAACAAGTTGAAAAGTTAATTTAAAATAACCACACTTCTAGGGGCAACAAAAAGCATAAAGCATCTGGGAATAAGTCTTAAAAGATATTCAAGATTGGACCATAGAAAATTAGAATACTCTCCTGAAAGACATGAAAGAAAACCTAAATAAATGGAGAAACACCCCATGTGCGTAGATAGCTATATTTAATATTGAAAAGATGTCAACTGCCTACAAGCCAATTTGTAGATACAATGCCAACACTGTTAAAATCTCAATACTTTTACTTATTTTTTTTGTGTGGAATTTGACAAGTTAATATTATATGGAGGAGTAAAAGGCTAAGAACTGTCAAAACACTGAGAAAGGATAGAAGCCTTTTTCTATCAAGAATATAAAGCCACAGTTAGTTGATATGGCATGGTATATGAACATGGATAGAAAAATGGGATAGAATAGAATAGCCAAAAACAATTTCACAAACACAGGGAACTTTGGTATTTTACATTAGTGGGGAATAGAGGAACTACTTAATAAATAGAATCAGAATAAATGTTTATCTTTATCTGTGAGGAAAGAAGTAAAATTGTTTACCTACCTCATATCATACCAAAATAAACTCCAAAAATAAACCAAACAGTAAAAATGCCCAAAAATAAACTCCAAAAAAGATTAAAACTTAAATTTCAAAAGCAGAACTTTAAGACTAAAACAAAAACATCTTTCTTATCTGGACTAGGAAAACATTTCTTAAACATGGCATGCAAAAAGAACATTAATTTCACTACATTAAAATAAAGAACTTCTAGACATCAAAGAACACTTTAAAGAGAGTGAAAAAACATGCATGGGTTTAAATTTATGGCAGGCCTGCCCCCAGGTCTCTCATAGTGCCCCATGCCAGAGCAAACTGTGGCCTTGAACCATTTCTTGGCTTCTACCCATAGGCTGCAGTAAGTGAAGTGAGTTGCACAATGGGAAAAATAGAGGGAAGAGAGAATAGGAGAGAGAGAGAAGGAAAAGGCAAGACATAAACTAAGAAAAGATATTTGTTACACATAAAAATAACTTCCACTCAGGAACATCAGAAATAAAGTTGAATGGAAGTCTGACAATTATGGAATTAAAGAAACCACATCTACTCAAACTGGTAGGAAGGGCGCAGGCATAGAACAGGCTGGCCCCGCACCCATGTGGATAAATAACAGGAGGGATCTCTCTGGAGAAAGGAGTCCCAGCCCCACTCCAGGCCCCCCATGCCAGGATTCCAGTGCCAGGAAGACAAGTCCCCACAACTTCTGGCTGTGAAAACCAGCAGAAATTAAATTGGTAGAGGAGGCTGCTGGAGCCCTAAGCAGTTCCTCTTGGGGAACTAACACACAGAATCACCTGCTTAGACTCTCTCCCTCTGAGCTCCAGTGCCAGGGTGGCAGCTTGAAGGGCACCAGTGGTATACAGGGAGAGACTGAAATGTCTAGCATTGGGGTTTACAGAGGTCATTGTCCCTTTGCTGAGCCCTCCCCCCACAGAGCCACTAGGCTGGTGCCATATCTGAGACCGCATCAACTTGGTTAACACTGTGTGACTCACCCTGGAGATTCATAGAGGCTCTACTCCACTCAACTTACTGGCCCACCCAAGTTGCTTTTCCATAAGAATAGCTCCTCTTGACTCCTAAATCCTATCTAACAAGCAACAGCTGGCTTCAGTGAGCCCCAGAAGTAACCAGATTAGAGTCACAGTTTGGCTTCCCCTGGGAATCTCCAAGCCCTGCAGAAGTAGCAGCCATCTCAGATTGCTTTATAGCTCAAGAAGGGTACCCTGGGAAAAACAGGTGAGGGCTCACCTTGGCCTGCACCACCTGGGAAACCCCAGGGCCAATTCACCCAGTGGATAGCTACAGACCACGTGGGAGCACCACCCTGCCCCTGCACAGAGGGCAGAGATTTGTAGTCAGTGGCCACAGCTAGTCATTGCAGCTGACTGGTCTGGGTACATCTCTCCCATTGATCTGCCAATGGCAACCATGGATTGACTACAAAAGGAGGGTTTATTAAGCCCACACAAAGGTTGCACCTTGAGTACCAGCTTAGATAATACGAGATGCCATGCTACTGGACCCTACGGGATAACCACTACGTTAGGCCACACTACCAAGACACAGAGTCAAAGCAGCTCTACTTAATACATAGAAACAAACACAGGGAGGCTGCCAAAATGAGGAGACAAAGAAAGAACAGATTGAACAGATGAAAGAACAGACAGAACACATAGAACAGAGAAAAACAGAGAAAAAGAACTATATGAAATGGAGATAAGCAATCTATCAGATGCAGAGTTCAAAACACTGTTTATAAGGATGTTTAAGTGAGGACCTCAGCAGCGTGAAAAAGGCCCAATCAGAAACAAAGTTTACACTAATTGAAATAAAGAACAATTTACAGGGAAAATAACAGTAGAATGGATGAAGCTGAGAATCAAATCAATGATTTGGAACATTAAAGAAGAAAAAAGCAACCACACAGAAGAAGAAAAAGGAGTCCAAAAAAAATGAGGATAGTATAAACAGCCTCTGGGACAGCTTCATGCTTTCCAATATTTGCACATAGGGGTACCAGAAGGAGAAGAGAAAAAGCAAGAAATTGGAAATCTATCTGAAAAAATTGTGAAAGAAAACTTCCCTGATTTGGTGAAGGAAATAGACATGTAAGTCCAGGAAGTGCAGAGAATCCCCATTATGATGGATGCAAAGAGGCCCACTCCAAGATACAACATTATTAAAAGGCCAAAATTTAAAGATAAAGAGACAGTCTCAAAAGTAAGAGAAAAGAAGTTAGTTATTGGAAGGTTGCCAGGTGTGAGGGTGAAGATGTGGGAGGATTAAGAAGTACAAATAGGTAGTTGCAGAATAGCCATGGGGATGTAAAGTGCAGTCTAGGAAATGGAATAGCTAAAGAACTTACACGCATGACCTATAGACATAAACAATGTTGGGGGGATTGACTGAGGGAGTAGGGGGTGCTGGGTGGAGGGGAGCAAAGTGGGAAAAATCAGGACAACTGTAATAGCATAATCAATAATATATAATTAAAAAATACAGAAAAATTGATATGCCCAAGAGAGAGAAGATGGTGGAGGAGTGAATGGGAGTCACGATGACCTCCTCCCCCGAAGACCAAGCTGGAATTGCGACTAAATAGTGGAGTAATCACCTGGAAAACAATGGAACGATAGTGGGAGAGGAGCCTTGGAGCTGCAGACAGACAGTAGATTCGACTCACACATCCCAACAGGTGAGAAGTGCGGTGGAGGCTCGAGAGTGTGGGCTGGGTGCCCACGGGCACTGGCACCAGAGGGACATTGAAGCGGCCAGTTAGCTTCCCCCGAGAAGAACAGGGTCTGAATCATAAACAGGGTCCCCTAAACTACAGCAGCTAAAACCAAGAAAATACAGACAAAACGCAACCCTGAAAAGCTTAGGGGCGCTCTCTGCCAGAGACAGGTGGCTGGGGATGCAAAGAGACATTTAAAGGGCCAACGCAAAAGTTGCAGTGGTAGCCACCCTCCTTGATCTCTGGGTAGAGGCGGCAGCGGGGTGGGCTGGTGCCTGGGAAAAGACTGATGAGGAAAACTTTGTGAAGAGAACTGACATGGCCGCCAGTGTAGCCCGGGTGATGGCGCGCCTCCCACTCTGCAGCTACCATCTCGCTCAGGCATAAGCGAATCAATTAACCTGCCTTTTGTGGGCTCCGCACACAGCAGAGACTGGAGACGGAGGCGTTGGGGAAGGAACGGGAGGAGAAACCGGGGAGTCCCGACTCCCACCCCGTTCTGTAGTCTCCACTGTGGGCTGGAAAGGCGTGACCCCAAAGAGGCAGAAGCGGGGCGCGCATGAACGAGACTGCCCGCGATTGAAACGCAGTCCGCACAGGGGGTGGATCCTTGGCCGAAGGGGTCACAGAACTTCCTGGAGGCCCCTGAGGAAAGTCTGGAAATGAAGGCATTGGGGAAAGAATGGGAGGAGGAACCAGGGAGCCCCGACTCTCTCCCCTTTCCATAGTCTCCATTGTGGGCTGGAAAGGCGCGCCCCCAAAGAGGCAGAAGAGGGGCGTGCAGGAACCAGACTGCCTGCGATTGAAATGCAGGCCACACAGGGGGTGGATCCTTGGCCAAAGGGGTCACAGAACTGCCCAGAGACCCCTGAGGAGAGACTAGAAAAGGAGGCATTGGGGAAAGAATGGGAGGAGGAACCGGGGAGTCCCGACTCCTTCTCCTTGCCGTAGTCTCCATTGCGCGGGAAGAGGCCACACCCCCAAAGAGCCAAAAGCTGAAAAGCACACATAGACACCCCCAAAACACCCAGAGCAGGCGCGCACACTTGCGCCGAGTGACCCGCGAGGGGTGGTGAGCGTGTGTGACCCACGCAGGCTGGCGAACGCTTGCCCCAGCGGGCAAGGCCTCCCACAGATTGGCACTGATACGGCCTGCAAGGGAGGGCACAGAGCGGCAAGGGCAGGTGTAAATTGACCCGCCTGCCTGCTATTGCGGAGCAGCCCACAAAATTAGTAGAGCTGCTCAGAGTCCCTGGAGGAGAGACCAGAGACAGGATTAACCGGAGAGTCCTGGAGCTGACTTACTCCCATTTCCGTAGTCCCCATTTGGCGAGGGCAAGCAACGCACCCAAAGAGCCAAGAGGGGGGAAAATACACACTAGAAGACCCTAAACTGACCAGTGCCACGGAGCTCGCCGGCCAGGGGAGCCAGATGAGTACACGCGGTCGCGAATAAGCCCCCTGGTCTGGGGCAAGCACATGCGAGCCCAGGCAGGCGGGGGATCCTGCCGTGCTGGGAGCACACTCAAGGAGCCCGCATGAGAGTGCAAAGAGATCCCCCAAAATAGCCCAGCCCTGAGGAAGGGGTTACAGAGCTGCTCCAAGCAGGAGTCAGACACAGACATTAGACTCCTGGAAGGCTCAAACAAACAACCCAAGATCCTATAGGGTCAACAACTGACATCATCAGAGGCAGGCCCAGAAAGAAAAGTAAAGGACAAAAATACTTAACAGACTCTCACAAAAATGGGAAGAAAAAGAAGTTTCCCCCAAATGAGTGGAAAAGGGGACTCCCCACAGAGAGAGCTCAATGAAATAGAGGCAAGGGAACTATCAGATATTGAATTCAAAACAATGGTTCTAAGGAAGCTCAATGAGTTCAGCCAGCTCAAAGATAACTATGAGAAACTGCAGAGAAACTATCAGGATCTTACAGCAAACTATATCAGCCTGGAAAAAGACATAGAAACTATCAAGAAGACACAAGAGGATATGAAGAATACCATTTCTGAATTGAAGAACACAGTACAAGGAATCCAAAGCAGGCTGGATGAAGCCGAGGATTGAATCACTGAGATGGAGGACAAGGTAGAAAGAAGCTCCCAGAAAGAACAAGAAATGGAAAAACGGCTCAAAAAGAATGAAGAGGCATTTAGGGAAATGCAGGACAACCTGAAACGCAATAATATCTGTATAATAGGGATACCAGAAAGAGAAGAAGAGGAGCAAGGGATAGAGAACCTCCTCGAAAAAGTAATGGTGGAAAATTTCCCTAATTTGAGGAGAGAAAGGCTCTCATGGATCCAGGAGGCACAGAAGACCCCACTCAAGAGGGACTCAAGGAGGTCCACTCCAAGACACATCATCATTAAAATGGCAAATGTCAAAGACAAAGAGAGAATCCTCAAGGCAGCAAGGGAGAAGGAGAAAGTAACATACAAGGGGGCTCCGATATGCCTAGGAGCTGACTTCTCAACAGAAACACTACAAGCCAGAAGGGAATGGCAACAAATATTCCAAGCCATGAAAAGCAAGGGCCTACAGTCAAGGCTGCTTTACCCAGCAAGGCTCTCCATTAAAATAGAAGGGGAAATACGGAGTTTCCCAGACAAGAGAAGACTAAAAGAATACATCTCTACCAAACC